GGGGAATTCTGGGAGTTGAAGTCCACCCCTCTGAAAGCCGCCAAGGTTGAGAAACACTGCATTAGAAAGTTGTCCTAGAAGTGGTTATAAAACGGGGGAAGTGTCTGTTGAATAGTGATTGCCTAAAATGCCATAAGGGTGGCCAATTCCCCCCCCCTTGCCTCCTTCTGCTAATGCGTTACTTGGCAAATGATTTACAGCTGCAGTTTTTACAGCTTGCTTAACCAGGTCAGTGAAAAGACTTCTCCAAAGCTTGCTTAAACTGATCTCTCTCTCTGGTGTGTGTTTGTGTGCGTCCATCTGGTTGGTTGATGGCTGACGGTCGTGCAAATTCGGAAGCTGGGCTAGTTCAGTAATGACTCGCGTGGGTGTAAAATGCAGCTAAATTCGTGGGAGGTGATGTTCAAAGCTGCCATTCTGTGATCCACAGCCCACCAACAGTCATAAATGTGTGAGGTTTAATCTCCGGAGAGTCTCCAAGCGGCTGGAATTTAGCCATATCACCCAGGAGTAAAATGCATTCTTTCTCTGTTCTTTGCAGTTGGGGTCTTCAGAAGATTTCGGATTTCCCCCCCCCTCCCCTGCTTTCTCTTCGTTTTGCCCTTCGTGGCAGCCGTGGAATGGTGAAAGCATCTGCCACAGAATAAACGAACCCAACTTTGTCTCCTTGGAAGACTGGAAAGGATTTGTACCTCGTTGGATGCAAAAGCAGAGCAAGGAGACGCCCTCGGCTCCAGGAACACTAAACCGTATTGGCTGCTGCTAGTTAGATCCAGATGTTGAGGCAGGGAGTCCCCAAACACAATACAGCAAAGAGATCGTCAGCCACATGTTCTTCAGCACAGCAGCCATTGGACAGCATGCGCTCTCCGTAGGGGGCCTGGTGGAGAGAGCATGGGAAAGGCACAAAAGGAGAAATTCTCAAGCCTGTTTTTAATCACCCAGACGAACACACTCTCGGCTCCGCTGATCACATGAGTCCTGCATAGTTATCTGGGGGGAGTTGGGCCCGTTGAACCTGAGGACGTGGACAGGGCCTTGCAGCTTCTTGTTCGGCCACTTCTGTGTTCGATCCATGCCCCTCCTGGCTGGTTAAGGCTGTGTGGGAGGGGACGCGCGATCGGGTCTGGGAGGTGGTTAATTCCTCTTTGAGGGAGGGGGTGGTCCTGCCGGCTCTTAAGGAAGCAGCGGTGTGCCCCCTCCTCAAGGGGCTGTCGCTGGGCTCAATAAATCTGGACAGATTCCGTCCAGTCTCCAACCTTCCCTCTGCGGAGACTTTCCTGCTGGGGACAGAGCAGTCGTGGGGCAGCTTCAAAGGACCCTGGGTGAAGCGGATTATCTGGACCCCTTTCAGTCAGGGTTCAGGCTGAGATGGCGTTGATCGCGCTCTGGCAGGAGTGGGATGGGGGTAGTGCACCCATCCTTGCTCTTCTTGACCTCTCAGCCTTCAGTACCATCAATCGTGGTGTCCTTCTGGACCGGCTTCGGGAGTCGGGGGTGGGTGGCACTGTGCTGTGCTGTTCTCCTCTTTCCTCCGGGGTCAGTTCCAGTCGGTGTTGATGTAGGGGGAGAGATCCAAGCTGAGGCCCCTACTTTGTGGGGTGCCCCAGGGTTCAGTTCTCTCCCTTCTTCTATTTAAGGGCACTTAACATGAGGCCGCTGGGTGAAGTGATCCAATGGTTTGGGGTGAAGCATCATCAACATGCTGATGACACCCAGCTTTCTCTCTCCACCCCAGGCCCTCCGAGCGATGCTGTAGATGTCCTGCCCGGTGCCTGGAGGCTGTAGGGGCCTGGATGGGGCGCAATGAGCTTCGACCCAACCCAAGCAAGACTGAGTGGCTCTGGGTATTTGGGCCTTCCAGTGACAAGGGTCTTCCATCTCTGGTCCTGGGTGGGGTTCCCCTGCCCCAGACGGGCCCGGGACGCAATCCGGGGTCCCTCTTGGACTGACGGCTCCTGCTCAAAGAGCAGGTGGCAGCCGTGGCCAGGAGGGCCTTTGTGCACCTTCGGGTTGTGTGCCATTTGTGCTCCTTCCTGGACCAGGAGGCTCTGCTCACAGTCACTCATGCCTTCGTGACCTCCCATTTGGACTACTGCAATGTGGTCTCCATGGGGCTGCCCTTGAAGAGCATTCAGAAGCACAGGTAGTAAATGCTGTCAGATATTCGACACATGTAACACCGCTACTGCCTAAGCTGCGTTGGTTGCCAGCATGTTTCCGGGGGCAATTTAAGGTGCTGGTTGTCACCTTTAAAGCTCAGCATGGCTTGGGGCCGGGTTACCTGAGGGACTCTCTTCTCCCAATAGTTTCGCCCGTCCAGTTCGGTCCAGTAGGAGGGTACATTGCGGGTCCCGTCAGCCAAGGAGTGTCAGCTGGCAGGGACCAGGAGCTGTGTCTCCTCTGCCATAGCCCCGGCCCTCTGGAACATTCTTCCTTCAGAGGTTAGGATGAACCCAACCCTGTTGGCCTTTCGTAAGGCTCTGAAGACCTGGCTATGTGCCCAGGCCCGGGGCCCTGAATGTGCTGAGGGCCCCGTTTCTCGGCTATATTGATGATTAAGGTGATCATTTTTCTCGACTGCCATATATGTCTATTTTTGTACCATATTGTAATTGTTTTAATTGTTT